CTATAATAATTGCAGATTTAATTTTTGAAGGGTGCTTTGAGTAGAAGCTGATGAGATCATTTTTGTTTGTAGCCTTTCTGTAAACGTCAAAATTGAGTTCGTTATTATTTCTAATTAACAAAATGTCCAGGAACGGAAGAGTGTAGTTGGTTTCAGTTTCAAAAGTGAAGTTTATTGTAGGTTCAATGTTGTTAAGTTTGGAGAGAAGATCCGTTAAATTAGTTTTTTTTTGGAATTATTAATAACGAGTCGTCTATGTATCTGAAATATGAAGAGTTTGTAGGGAGAATATTTTTGAATGAGTCACTTTTCTGTAGTCCTCAATATTTATTTAAAGAAGAAACATACATAGAAAACACATTCAAAAACCTACAATACCCATATCATTTCATCCACAATGCAAGAAGAAAGGCATACAAAATATACAAACGAAACAAAACTAATAACACAATCCGCAATAGTAAATCACATGAAAACAGATACATAATACTACCGACCAATTCTGCCACGTCCACGATCCAGAATAACCTATCCCATCTAAATAATCTTGAAATAGTCACAAACACTTCCAAAACCATTATAGATATACTAAGATCTTCAAACAATAATAGCACTAATATTTCTGAAGCAGGCATTTATAAAATAAATTGCCAAAACTGCTCCTCCCAATATATTGGAGAAACAAGTAGAAGTTTGAAAAAACGCATTTATGAGCACAAAAGAGACCTCACAAAAAACAACTTAGCTAATGCAATAGTCATACATAGAAATAAATTCAACCATAACTTTGATTTTAAAAATGCTACACTCATAAAAAAAGGAAATAACTCACTCAGAAGGAAAATTCTGGAGAGTGCCGCCATAGAAAATTACCCAAATATTAATCTACGCCCAGGCTTTTTCCCTATTTCACCTTTCTTAACAAAAGTAATGCTCTTACAAACAAATATGCACAACAGATTCATAAAATCGAAAGAAAATGGTTGAATGCATCAACACAGATATAATGACAATATTCTCCACACGTGAGAATCACTGACGTTATTTTTCAGTTAAAAAATATGAAAATAGCGTTTCTCTACATTCCAGTTGTTAGGTACATTCTGTTTTTATTTTTATTAGTTACTTTGTTCGTTTAATTTCATTTTCGTATTTTGCTTTGATAAAGTCCACATTGGACGAAACGCGTCAGCAATTACCAGTTTTCCTATTGTCATTTTATTCATAAATATTGTCTTCTCTACTGGTTAAATCGGAGAAATTTTCATATATATATATATATATATATATATATATATATATATATATATATATATATATATATATGTCCTACGTTTTCCTTTTAATACAACACTCAGGAAAGCATCATAAGTCCTGAGAAAATCGACGCAAGAGCCAACATCAAATTTACGGTAAAATATGGTTTGAAAACTGAAGACATTATTGATCTTTTGAGAAAAGTTTATTGAAATAATTCCTCCTCCACCAAAAACAAAGACGCAATCTACAAATTGATAATTGGATTTCCCAAAAAAAAGACGAGATGAAGCTGAAGAGTGGATCGGTCGATCAATATCAACAACCGTTTGTAAGGAAAAAATCGATGCTGTTCGATGTTTAATTGAAGGTGACGGACGATTAATAACAGAAATAATAGCTAACACCCGAGGCATTTATTTGGTTCAACCCACGCAGTTTTATTTTTTTTTTAATAATTTCACCCCAAGCAAAACAACAAAGCCGCTAAAACAAAAAACTGAACTTGAGCAAATATTTTCCTTGTGCTAAAAAGCGGATGAGCCTCGATTAGCAACAGATACAATATTTTAATAGATTTTTTAAAAAACATCAAGTAAGAAAAAAAAATGAAGGTATTCAGGGATGTATTGAACTAGGGATGAAGCTTTTTGTAATCAATTCATTACAAATAAGGTGATAATGCCACTGAGATGAAAGGGGCTACTGGGAGTGAAAAAGAATGAAAAAGACTTCAGAAGGAACCGGGAATCCAATCTTAAACAAGTAACAAGCGAACTTGTTCAAAAAAGAGGGGAGGAGTGTGAACCAAGAACTTTAATATCTTCTCTGATTGAGGAGAGAAAAAAAAGAGTAAATCAAATTTCAGACGGAGACGTTAGAAAATATAGAGTTGAAGTAAACTTCAGAAGGAAGCAGAAACGCAATCCTAAACAAGACCGGAGAGAATTGTGAACCGGGAATTTAACTTGGTTCGATCGTAATCTGGATCAATGAACCAGTACGAACGATCCTTTCTTTAGCTGCATAGTATGTGATTTCCCAGGGCTACATACAGTTTTGAATTCAGAGTTACTTTCTCCTAGACCGGTTGTCACCAAGGCGATAGGAAACAGTCCGTTAAGATGTCGACCATAGTCGGGATCATCGAGTTAATGCGAACGATCCTTTCCTTAGCGGCATAGTATGTGCTTCGCCATGAATACATACAGTTTTAAATTCAGAGTGTTGTCTCTCCTAGACCGGTTGCCAACCAAGGCTACAGAACTCAGTTTGTTCTGCTATTTACTCATATCTGGTGGCAGAGAAAAAGAGGATACATACTTTTCCCTAGTAAGTCAATGTAATGGATACGACTGGAATTTGAACTCGCTTCTTCGATTCCTCAGTGTAAGCCGCTATTCATTACTCCACCGTGCCTCGGTAGTTTTGCAAGTATGACCGTGAAGATAAAATTAATTCAGTCAATAATTACCCAAAGTAAAAAAAAGGGTTCAGTCAAAGCCAGTCAGGATGAAAGGTCATGGCAATATATTTCAAGGATGTTGAGGGCATTATGCGGGTTGACCTTTTTGAAAAGAGAGTAACAATTGCTTATTACGAAAGTATTTTAAAAATGTTAGCTAAAGATTTAGCAAAGAAGAACCATAGAAAGCTTGATCAGAGAATCCTTTAAGACCATTGCAATGCTGCTGCCTATATTTTTCATCAAAGAAGGCGAATATTGCCATAATTTTGATAAGACATCATTGAGCATTCACCTTAACATTCTGATTTAACACTTTCGTCCTTTTTCTTATTTCCTAACCATGAAAAAACTGTTCTGAAATTTAACCATTTTGTAACACTTCATGACGTAAAAAAAAGGCTGACTTTGACATGGTTACATTCTCAGGAACATCAATTCTTCGTGACTGTATAAATGGCTGACATCATCGCGTACAGGAATACGTTGATAGACATATGTCATTTCTGAATAAGTAATGGATTTTTTATTTATTAATCCTAGAGATTTATCGCTTTAAAATGTATTTTTAGTGGATAGACGATCCTTTTATTTATTAAACAGTGTATTTATTTGTTTTCGTCTACCTACCTAAAAACGTAAGAAATCTTATTAAAAAGAAACATTTGTCTTCAATAAGATTTTCGAGAAATAAGATTTTTCGAATATTCAGATCTGTCGACAAAAATAAATATAGTGTTTAATAAATAAACGGAACGTCTACTCAAATATGGTCATCCACCTAAAATAACGTTTAATGTTATATTTAACAATATTTGATTTCTATTCCATTTTTCAAGAACATTTTGAATGCTCTTTGTATATTAACTTGTTTCGAAAGTAATGTTTTTCCAATAGGTTTTAAACGCAAAAAGCAATAGAGCTTATGTATGAACTATTCTAATGGTTGAAAAAAATGAATATCTATAGTTTCTAAAAATGTTATATATTAATTTGTGGCAAAAGTTATTGTTGTGGATTCCGAGATCAAATTCGGTCTCCAATGAATGACAAACACAAGAAATAAAGATAAGAAATTAAATGTATTTACACAATAATACAATGGGTAATACTGTTAGTAAATCCAGGAACACCGTTAGTAGCAATAATATATATATATATATATATATATATATATATATATATATATAGTCTCGAAGTAGGACTTCCTTAGAGTCTACGTGCTTGTAACTATGACTTCTACAAGCGGTTACCTCACTCTATCTCCAACTCAATCACAATCTCTTCTCACTCAATCTCTCTCTGTTCTAACTGACTCTGGGTATTTAACGGCAGCAGTCCAAGTAACACTATGGTCGAGTCCACTTATATGAAAAAGGGAGGGGAGGACCCCATAACAGTTATCACCATAATTTATCTTGGGTTTCTTTTACAGAGTCATCCCTTGCAAAGTTGTTCTGGATCCAAAAATATTTCTGCTAACCAAAGCAAGATAATTTCGACGTAATGATTCGTATAGCCAATCAAGTTGTTGGCAATAGACTTTTGCAGTGATGATCCTTTCATGTTTCACAAGTTTGTCTTGAACGGCAACATTTTTTTTTATTCCAAACACAAAACAAGAATTTCTTTGGATGGAGACCTGGTCTCATTATTGGCAGTGATTTCTCATTTCGTGATAACCACTGTTTTCTTTCGTTTTCTTTTTGCATGCAAAACCCATTTTTCATCACCTGTAAGAATACGATGCAAAAATGGAAGGGTGGTAGGTTCGTTTCTCAACCGAAAACTCTTCAAGGGCAGAAATCCGCTTTTTCAAAATTAATTTACACAATATAACTGAATATGTCAATACAGCGCCACATTAACTGCGCTGTGCTGTACACCTTCATTGTTTCTCACGAACAACGGATGACACATAAACACTCTGCTATTTAATGCAAAATTTATAACTGATATTTTCATTAATATCCCCCACCTGTACATGTAATTCCTTCAATATGAACATTATTTTAGTCTCACCTAATGAACATTGATTGATTTTTTACGGTTTATCAAGCCTTTGTCAGACAATATTTTTAGATTGTAGAAATTGTTTTTTAAATTTGGTGGGTGGCGGGGATAATGATACATGTCTTACATAGGGTGAGAAGAGGTGGTTTTATACCTTTCCAAGGGTATTTGCGCGTAATTTAATGAACCCAAGGAGAATCGGGACTTGGCTCTCCTATTAACAATTCCGAGCCATTATTCATTAAACAAGCCTCACATCTATACTAACAACACCGGGTATTCCTAAGCAGTCACCCATCTAAGTACTGACCAGTCTGGATGTTGCTTAACTTTGGTGATCGCGTGAGAACCGGTGTCTCATGCGTGATGCTGCCGTAAGCCTCCATAATGAAAGATTGCTCGGAAAATTTAATAGTCACATGACAGATTGAAGTCAATAGGGACAGAGGAAAATAACGCATAACTTATATAACGAGCTTGATTAAGTTATAGAAGAGATAGTAAAATGATAAAATTTACTAAGCGCTACAAGGGACAGGAAATTGTGGAGAGTAGTGATCGCCAAAATCCTGAAGGGACATGGCTCATAGAAGAACAAGCAGAAAGAAAAAAAGTCCTTTTAAAAGACGAAGCGCGTTATATACAGCGTGGCCCGAAAGTTTTGTTACCCGTACATAATATAAATTTCTATTTCAGGTGACTGACACGAGCTTCTACAGTTTGGAAGAGAGGTACGGGGAGACAAATCTTTCGGAGCATCCAGTAGAATGTTTTCAGTGAATTACTCAACATTGTACAATTATAATGAATACCCATAGCATTTGTATATCAATCTTCTTTGACTCAACATGTTTCCTATCAAACATTTTTTGTCATTTTCAAATTCTATTCTCATAAAAAAACGCCATTATTTGCTCCGTACACAAACCGATATGAAATCCAAGTCTGAAAGAAATGATAGAATTGACTGATCAAAATAAGAAATTCTTTCCGTCTTTCCATTTCGGAAGTAAAAAAGAAAAATCTCTTTCGAAACTAAAACAATGAATCGTTTAAGATCCTGTCTGATCCGAATGTTTTATACCAAACACCGGCAAGTTGAAAAATCGTAAGTCGAATGCAATTTTAAGTGTATTCTCTCTTGTCTCCGTACATGAATATTTCTATTTTTCAAATAAGCTTAAAGTAAATATTCGCATAGCATAATTGCTTTATTAATTGCAAGAAAATCATGGTTTAATTAAATATTTTTAATAATCTTTCTTATAATGACAAAACCATCCGAATAACAATACATGCATAATACGTTCATACACTAAGTGATAAGCACTGACGAAAGCGCCATTTAACTCAGGCGGCCATTCAGACAACTACATTCAATACGTTGCAATAGTATTAAAAAAGACTACCTTGTAATCTACGGTATTAATATTTTATAGGAATTGACGTTGACTTTAATGTGTTTATCGGTAGACCTGACAAATTTTATGTGTCATTAATTTATTTCTTTTCGGAAAAGAGTCTAAACTCACAAAAATATTGGATAAACCAGAAATGTGGTGGAAGTAGAATATTTTCCTGATGAAAAAAAAATGTAGCAGCCAGAAACCTACCTGATAGACACACACCACGGCATGGGTTACAGTTTACTGAAGCTAATCTCCGCCTTCCTCTATCCCCTGCAGCTTTCATCAAGTTCCTTCCCTCTGCTTCCTCCCCCAGACTACGTTCTGTCATCCACCTGCTCAAGCTCGTCAGGTATGTCACGCGCTGCTTTCCTTTGTCTCTCTGTCCCTCTGTTTGACCCGTGAGTATCAGATTTTCCAGGATCTCCTTCCTCATTATGGGTCCCAGAAACTTCAGCTGCCTCTTCCTGATGTTAAGTATGAGCCTCCATCTTGTTTGCATCCTCTCTAAGACCTCATCGTTGCTCGCACACTCGGTCCATGATATCCTTAACGTCCTTCTGTAGAACAAAATCTCCGTCGCCTCGAGTCTCTTCTTCACCTTTGAGGAAATCGTCCAATATTCGCTGCCGTAAAGAAGAATAGATGTCACGTAACAGCTCAGTATTCTTTACTTTGTTACCAAAGAAATCCCGCTGTCTCGCATTACTCTGCTCAGCTTTTCGAATGTGTCCTTGGTCATCCCAATACGTCTACGGATCTCAGTGTCGCACTTATCGTCCTCTGTCAAGGCACTTCCCAGATATTTAAACTTCTGCGTCTGCTTGATTCTAGTGTTCTCGACCGGCAAATCGCATTTAAATAGCTAAATAAGGATGGATATGCCTCAAAATCATCGATCGAAACTTTGCAGATGCAGTCATACTCTAGATATTTTGCCGATAACGGTACAGAATGTAAGGAGAATTTGGATAGAAGTAAAATGGTAAATGCGGTACTGTTTACCGGAAGTAAAGTAGGAGAACTGCAAACTTTGATAAGCCAGTCAATGAATCCGTCAGTTCTTGACAGTTCTTGTAATTCAAGCGTAGCAAGTAAAGTTTTGGTGAACTGCTACATCGATAGCCGAAATTGTCAACTTTTTAATTGATGGAACGAGGATAAAGTAACAGAGATTTCAAATTTTGAAATCAACTGAGAAAATAAGTTAAGCTAGCTTGGTTAATTAAACGGCATCTTAAAACTATCATATCCAGCCAACGTGTATTTTTTTCCTAACTATAAAAGGGTACTGTCGTCCTATATGAGAGTAAATGCTGGGAGATATACTCACAGATAAAAAAGTAACTTGAAGCAACAGATATCTGGTATTATAGAATTATGCTGAGAATATCATGGAGCGAACACTTGAATAGCGTCGAAGTTTTAAAGAAAATAGCAACATAAAGGGCACTTCTATATGTAGAAAGAGTCTGATGGAATGTCACATAATGAGGAAAGAGGACTTAGAAAACTTGACACTCACAAGACAGATTGAAGGTAAAAGAGACAGATGAAAACAGCGCATAACCTACCCGGCGAGTTTTAGTCAATGGATGACGGAGCAGAGTTTGGGTGAGATGGCAAAAAGACAAGTTTGAGATAAAATGAGGGCAATAAGGAAACCTATACTTAACAACAGGAAGAGACAGTTGAAATTTCTAGAGAACATAATGAGGAAAGAGGACTTGTAAAACCAGATACGCATATGGCACATTGAAGGCAAGAAGCACAGAGGAAGACAACGCATAACCTTCTTAGTGAGGTTGTGTAATTGGATGGTGGAACAAGGTTTAGGATAGATAATAACAAGACCAAATTTCAGACTAAATTTCTAGGATGGGGTATTATAATTATTTACATTGTTTGGACTGGTGCCCTCATCGTTATTGCCATATTAACACCGTTTGGGCCATTGCACAATCCGGCCTGCTTTAGGTGGTTGAAATTTCGAGCTGAGCCTTTTTATTTCGTCCTCTGAGTTAGATTGTTCTAGTTCTACGTTCCATGCCTCGTCCGGATGCTTCAGTTATATCCCTTTAACTCAACCCCATGTTTTTGTTCACTGCTGCAGCAGCCAGGTATTGAACTCATAACTCTAAATGTCAAGTCACTGGATGTGTGTCCTTGAGGATATCAGTGTATGAATTTTGGGTACTTATAAACTTAATGTCACAGTTTTAATTTTTTTACCAGACCTCATATTGCAATTTTGTTGTTATTAATTCTTTTCTCTAGCACACCGTATTACTACATCCTATATTGTATTCATTTCTATGCTTGGGCGGCTTAAGAGATTGTTGTGGCCTAGCATAAGTACCGATTCCTTAAGTTTGAAGGGATTATCGGAGAACATATTTATTAGTGTAATCTGTGGTCAATATAACATCAGGACGACTTTCAAAATTGGTTCGACATTTCGCAGACACCTCTTCCGAGTAAGACCCTCCCCATAAAGGAGAACATGACGAACAAATGTGTGTACGCCATCCCGTGCAGCTGTGGCAAGAAATATAAAGGAGAAACTGGCCGCCTTCTTATAGCAATACTGCAAGAACATCGTAAAGCTGTAGACAAATCAAATGTAGCTGACCACATATTGAGGGAAAATGGAGATCACCGGCCCCTGTGGGATGAGGTTGAAATAACAGAGAGAGAACAGCACTGGAAATTATGAAAACTTAAGGGATCAGCAAGAAAATTGTGGAGAGCAATGATCGCCAATGTCCTGAAGGTTTACAGCAAATAGCAGAAATATGAGCTTGCGTAAATGAATGGCGAAAAAAAGACAAAATTTATTATGAGCTACAAAGACCAGGAAATTGTGGAGAGCTTAGGAAAGATAAAAAAAAATATTATGAGATACAAAGAAGAAATTGTGGAGAACCATGATCGCCAATGTCCTAACGGGACATGACAGAAGAAGTATGAGCTGAGTAAATAGAGGGTGGAACAAGGTCTAGGAGAGATAACAACAAGACAAAATTTATTAAGAACTACAAAGAACAGAAAATTGTGGAGAGCCATGATCGCCAATGTCCTGAAGAGACATGACAGATAGAAGAAGTATATGTTGAGTAAACATATGGTGGAAAAAATTCTAGGAGAATTAACAACAAAACAATATATATTAAGACATACAAAGTAGAAGAAATTGTGGAAAGTCATGATTGCCAATTTCGTGAAAGGACACGATAGATAGAAGAAGTATGAACTGAGGAAATGGATAGCGGAGCAAGGTTTACGAGAGATAACAAAAAGAATAAATTTATTAAGAAGAAATTGTAGAGAGCCATGATCGCCTCAGCCCTATAAAAAAACCAGAAGATATACGCAAATATTGTTCGGGTTTAGTAAACAATGTCTCATGTCTTTGGTGCAATGCGCATACGTTTGTGTTGATTATTCCAAGAAATTGATTGATGAATGTACTGACCCCAAATACCGTAAACTCCATATAGTAAAATATGGCTACAGCTTTCAATCCGTTGGGGATTGTTGCTGCTGTTTCAATAGCCAGTAGGTTTTTTCGGGATGCAGTCAGCTCCATAATTCCAGTTGGTTTTGAATTCAAAATTTTCTAGTACAGTTGTCAAGTAAGTACAAAGAAAACCCATTCTGTTCTGATATTTAATCCAAGGCTGCGATAGGAAGGGGAGATAGTGCGAAAGTGAATACAATGAACTCGACTGGAATTCGAACTGGGGTTGTTGATTTCATTTTCCTAACCGATAACCACGGACCCCCATGATGAAGTTACAAACAATTTTATAATTATTAGAGTAAAATGGAAACGTTCGTCTTTCCAGTCAATATTTTTTTCTTCGCTGTGAAATTTAATGAAGTTGTTGCCATGGATTTCATTGTATAGAAACTTATATTAAAATTTGTCGTTATTCTAACTCTGTTACAGACAAAGAGGCATCTATTAT